TTGCCATGGTTACAGGGTGACGCTCTCTCTCTGCGTGTTTCCTGGGTGAGAGAGGCCTTTTTGTTGTTGTTGTGCTAAGCTAATAGGCAGAATGCTTATTAGCTTAGCAGTTCCAGGTGGCAGCGTTACGGTTGCCATGGTTACACATCACAGCAGGTCTCACTGCCATCCTGTAAACCTTGTAAAGCGTGTTTCCTGGGTGAGAGAGCGCCTGTTGTTGTTGTGCTAAGCTAATAGGCAGAATGCTACAGGTCTCACTGCCATCCTGTAAACCTTCGCTTTCACACTTGCTGCTGTCTTCTGTCACAAATCAACTCTGACACTCGTCTCCACCCACTCCACCCTGCCTGCACTCTCTTCTTCACCTCTCTTAGGCACCGTCCTCTCTGTTAATCACAGCGTTAAACTAGAACAAGAAAAAAACTAAAAATAAATAAAGTAGAGCAGAATGTAATAAAACAGAATAATACAAAATATAGTATCTCAATAAGTAAAAGCTAAATAAAATAATAAAATGAAAGATAAAATTCCTGAATGAAATAAAAGTTCATAGAAAAAAAATCACTTTCTAAATCTTTTCAAATTATATTTTCAAAGTAAAAACAAATGATGTTGTTTTCTTAACGCTTCTGGATTTGTATGAACGGATCCTCAGGGATCGACCGAGTCTCTGTCATATTTTGAATGTTTCTAAAGTGTTTAGTGTCATCTTCCTCCTACACACAGCAAACCTCTGTCAGCTTCACACTGAAGCCTGCTGGCTCTAATTCTTGGTTTAGTTCTCCACCTGGTGGCTTTCAGAGGAACTGACAGAGACGGGATGTCATCGCTCATCAGTCCATGAAATATGCAAGTCACTGTCAGCAGAGAGGGATTGTACCTCGTCGTTCACGGGCACTTGTGTGGTTTTATTTATGAATCTGGTCCCATTCAAGTTTTCAGTGTTGGCAAAACCAAAAGCCATAACTGACTTTCATACGTGTTATTGTGCTGCTATAAAACTACGATAGATGTAAAGCTGACAAGCTTTAAAATGAAGGACTTGCTGACTACTTCCTTCTTTACACTTAATGTTAGTAACGCTTGGATGG